TATAATTAATTAAATTAAAATATCAGTGTGAGCCACGAGTCTTTAGTTGCCTCAAGTTACTGACCATTTATTTATTTCTCAACTTTTGGAAGCATGCAGCTGATGCTAATTTCCATATCAGAAGAAAAGTAGAACTTTTGTTTGTGGAATTCTGTACACTACCCACTGTGTAAGTTTGTTGACTTCAAGTCATGCATTTTCTTCAGTGACTATTATGAATAATTATTAATAAGTATTAAGTATAGGTTGCTCTAATCGAACCTGGAGTTTTCCGAAAGGTGGACGAACTAGTACGGAAGGAAACAAAGGGCAAAGGAAAAGTGGAACTGTTGAACTTGAAAGTTCTGAAGGAAGTCGAATGAAAACGAAAAGAGACAAAAACTTTTTCGCGTTTTCGCATATATGCCTGAACCGTTTTACGTGCTCTTTAATTTAATTAAACACAGTTTCGATTAAATCCAACAGTAACTCGTTGAAAGATCAAAACCGTTACCTGGAGGAAGATATAACGACGTACTAATGTCTATAACTTCATTTCCACTGCACCACTACATGACCATCATTGGTTGGTTAACATCAACGCCAAAATGAACACGCTCATATTTCCAAAACACTATTCTTAGTATTATTATCATTGTTATTATTTTGAAAGCCATGGATCACGGAGGTAGTAGTTTTACACAGAAACGGATGGCTGTCTGACTGGTGGCAGCGCTGAACGCCGAACACGAACATCGTTCGACGAACAAGTATCCGTCCGTTGTTCGAGCAGCATCGGCTGACCGCATACAACGGTGTCAAAGGAATTACAGCAATGGCACGCTGGCTGAGCTTCGAGAATATCCTTCCTACGAACGACTGCAGCATATCGTGCGGGATCACAACTTTCACTAATTTTTCGAAGACGTCGAACTCTTTAAACTTTTCTTGTCTGAACTAGGTGAATCGTAACTAAATAAACAAAGTTAGGCAGCTAACAAGAGATACGTAACAAGCTATAACACAAACCATACATGGTGAAATGGTGCAATACATGGTGAAACTTAGTCTTTGACGAGCAATGTGCTATTTGATGTTTATGCAGAACACACTCCGCAGACCTGGTTTCATGGTGCACTGCATCCCTTATCACCTGCCTAGAAGGACCATTTAAGCAGGCCACGGCTCCATGGTATTTGAGCACATGCAACCTTAAACGCTGGCAGAGAAGTTATGCCAAAATTAAGACACTTCGGCGCACGAAGATATTTTGATGTAATATGGCACATGTACAGAGTAGCAACTCGCGGGGAAGGTGAAACGGCTCGAGTGGACAAAATGATGCGAAGTGCATCTGGCGCTGCTGCTCTTCAAATACCATGGTGAGGTGGTCTGCTTAAATGTCCCTCTAAACAACAACGGTATGATTATAATAATTATATAAAATCACTCACGATTATAGGCGTAGATCTATGGAGTAAGCGCATTATGTATGACCAACAACGGTCAACTAACGGTCAGCCATTAGTTTAACCGTATCGATGTACTCTCTCACACTAACATAATGGACTTTATAATTAGCAACATTCTTTCAGCGAATTTATTGTGTTGGTAATGAGAGTTACGACGAAATCAGTGAGAAATGCTTTTTAAGATAGGTAGTCTGCAACGACGTTGTAAGGTAACAAAAATCAGTTTTTGGTTCCCTGCCCCCGATAGTAGTCGTTTATCTATCGCGAAGTGGTGAACAGCGAAAATGATTCAGTAAACGCCCAGCAAATAGTCGCCTGTGCTGTCTTACAACAGAAACTAGCTAATGCAAACTAGCTTGTTGTTTCTAAGCGTCTCAATACGTCATTATGGCAGATCATCTTGTAAATGTGTTATTCATCTATTTATCGCTAGAGCTACTCGCAGCACGAGTTAATGCTTAAGTATATACAAACTTCAGTCATACCCCGAATTCGACTTAAACACGTCAGGAATGTAAGAGTGACTGAGAACTCCGGAACCTCCAAGGGCCGGTCGCCACATTTCATAACCTAGCTTCGACAGCTCCGTCGTAATCATGTCCATAACGGTCTGGGAAATGTCTGAAATCAGTTTGCATGTACAACGTTTCGAGCATCGACGGCAAATGCATTAGGCGTAATTTACAGCAGCATGCAGAAGCAACTGAATATAATCAAATATACAACATGATAAAAGCACAACTCCATGAAATATGATTTTAGGCAGTATGGCACGATCACTTACTCCTAAAGATCTATGGGTTATTTTAACAGATCATAATTATGATATTTTACGCACTGTAATTAACAGAGGCTGAAAGCCGAATTCAAAACGTTGCAACCTCAAAGTGCGGTAGGTGAGAGCAGCAATGGTCCAACATGTTTTAAAGGACTAAGGTGATAGGTCATCAAAATAGATAGATCTGTTATGAATCTCATAATACCGCAAAAATGGAGGATCACTGCCAATGGTCACGAGTTTATTGATGACTGTGAAAAAGCTAGGCTAGAAGTGGTAGGTAATTAAAATGCCTACGAGCGTGTGTATTTCGAGAAAAATGCACTATGCTCAGAAGAGATGACGTACTATAGTAAACCATGAAAAAGGTGCAACTTCCAAGTAGTAGTTATGAAGGTTTGTTGTGTATCTACAAGCAGGTACCGATTAATTTCGAAACCATTTTCACGTGTCTTTGTATAAAGGTTAATATCGCAGGAAATGGTGAAGCGAACATGGTTAACTATTTCGTTATTGAAGGTAGCTTAAACAATGAACCACTTTCTAGTTTGCTCCCTTATTCCGTTGTTTTATTTATCAATAAACAACTTCTTGAATTCGCAGCGGTACCGCGCAAGACGGTTTCTGGTTCCATCGCGAGCAACCGAAGGAAAAACGAATATCTTTCCAACGTTTCAATCGAACCGGCATCAGTCATAATCAGGGAATGAATAAAATACATGTAACTGCTTGGGTCAGCTGATGATTCACCATACCGGGGATTGCTTTACCGTACAATACTGATGCAATTAACTAGAGTCCACGCCGGGGACATATCTCTTACCCCCTTACTTGTTAATGTGGTTTTATAGCTTTCCTTGTTAGCTGAATTCAGGCTTTTTGTAGTACCCATAACTCCGCTGTTGCTGGTTCCATGCCCGGATGAGAAAGGAGGAGAGTTGGAGACCGTGACAAGTCTCCATAAAATTTAGCCACCTGCCACTCACGGTATTGACGCCATCGAAAATCATACCGGCTCGGACGTCGCCTGGGTTACCACGGACCGCGCAGGCTGTT